TTATAGACATAAAATTTATGAATAAAAATTATATACTCTCCGTCTCCAAAATCATTGGAGGTTTTGTTTTTTTAAAAGATTTAAGGAGAGTGTGTTTTGGTTTTAAGTTTCCAAAAATATCCGTGGAAGTGATGAGTAAAATAAGATTTTATTGGTAAATTAATAGTTAATATATGTGATGTGATATGTAGGTTAAGAATTTGTAGGGATAAAAGTGACCTTTTAATAAAAACGAAAAAAGTTTTTTGAGACGGATGAAAAAAGAGTAGAGAAAAGTTTTCAGAGACATAGAAAGTATTAAAAAAATATCAAAGGAACTACAAAACTAGAGGTGATATAATTATACTCCCTTCGTTCCACAAAACCATTCCGGTTTTGACTTTGGGGAAAAATAAGGAAAGTGTAAATTTGATTGACTTTCCAATTTTGCCTATGATGTGATGATTTGGTTATTAGTGAAAAAGTATGATGTGATAGGTAGGGTATGAAAAAGTAGGGGTAAAAGTGGTTTTTTAATAGAAAGTTGAAGTGTTTTGTGGAAAGCAAACAAAACGAAAGAGGAAGAGTTTTGTGGAACGGATGGAGTATTATGTTATCAAATAAGTAACGAAAATAGGAAAACAAAGTATATAAAGTTTGACATTGTTAATAGTATACATAAAGATTAAATGGGACGGAGGAGAGAGTTTTACAGAGTACTACGTAGCTCTGGAGTTTCAGGATCGATTTTGACAAGAGCACTGTAAAATTTTCTGAAAGAATCAAATGAAAATTATACAGAGTGCTCCACTTTCTTTTATAAAGTACAAAATTTAATATATATACTCCCTCGTTTCTGAATATGTTTCCACATTTAATTTATTTTGTTAAATTAATAGATTTTGAGCTCAAATTAAATCAAAATAATATGAGGTATTAAATATTAATATGAAAATAAATTTATTAAATTGATTAAATGAAATATTTTCCAAATTTTATTTCATCTAATTAAAATATAATTTATATGTTTTTTTAATTGTAAATTAAAAGTTAAAAACAATTGACTGAAAAAAAATTAAAATGGGAGAAGATAGTATGGAGTAAATTCTCATTCAACTTGATCAGCCCGAGGCATCAAGTTGTTGATTTTCAACACGTAGGTAATAATGACGGGTATATAGAGTGATGAAGAATTTGGAATTGTTTACCAAAGACAAAAGTCATCGAGTATGAATCTGACAAAAGGTTTTACCGTTTGGTGAATGTGACAGCGTGAAAAAGAAGTTTTATGTATTTTACTCCGTAATGGCTAACTTCTGCCCGATGTAAGTTGGATTTTGGTCACAGATTAATTATAAAGAATATGATCTACATCTAGTACTTGCAAATATCTTATACTTAAACATAATTGTTTCTCCATACAATTGTTAAAATTGAATTCAAATCTTACTCATTTGGTTTTTGTTACTTGTGAATTGCACAATGTCTACGACTCTATGGAGAGATTGATAATGACCTCACCCGCCCTCATAATGACGCTATTCCAACACACAAGTCGTTATTAGGAAAATTTCTACTGTACTTAAAAAAGGTTAGATGAGGGCATCTCCGGGGCCTTCTAAAAGCACTATATTCTTTTGAAAAAAACTACCATTACATGTCATACTTCAATTTGCATAATATGTACATGTATTACATACACATACAAATAACACTTATCTATACGATACATAGATAATTGTTATATGTGAGTGTCTTTGTTGCATGTATACAAGTTAGGGTACAAATGTGATGTGCTCCTAGAAAACCAGGATATAACATGATAAGTGCACCTAAAATAATAAAATATATTAAATCTGTAAGTTAAAGCTCATGTGGTTGAAGATGATCAGAAAATAGATTTGCAAATTACTGTTGATCGATCATTGATAAAAGCTACTCCATCCAATCTTAAAAACTCTTCTTGTTATGACTTTCTTGTCAAACAATTGTCGAACTCTACCGGTCCCAAACTTATTTTTCTTTCTTTCTTTGTTTGGAAAGAATTAGAATTTGAGGGATTTTGTAGATTTTCTTAAAAATTACTCCCTCGCTTTAAAAAACCTTTTCTATTTTGATTTTTTTTGTCAATTTGTGATAGTCTTTTATCATAAATTAAACATAATCTAAATAAATAAATGATATAAAAATTTGGTATATCAAAACTATATCCTAAGATGAATCCGATTACATTGAATTTATATTATAATTTAATATACTCTTTTCACAATTTATGATCAAAATGTATCACTATTTGAACAAGAAAAGTGAAAATAGGAAAGCTTTTAACGACCGAAGAGACTAATTTATTTAAAGAATAAAATATTCTATAAATGTAAAAAATGGATGAGATGATTGAAGAGAATGTGACAAAAATAAGTTGCTAAAGTGCCCTTAAAAAACTAAACGTAGCATATAACTTTCCAAAATTTAGCATCCTCTTGAAATGCTCTTCCCTTTTATACTTTGTTATTCCTCCTCCACATTATCATATAATTGTTATATAGAAAAGCAAGAGAGAACATGATAAAATTAAACATGTTTTTAAAATGTGGTGTACCAATTTCCTTCTACTAAGTTTCCCTTCTCCAACAATCATTGGAGCAATCGTCTTAAAGTCCAAGTGAAGCCCCTTCCTAGCTGATGGTCTTAGGCATTTAGAGAAAATACTTAATAGTGTAACACCCCATTCCAAGTTACTCGAGTCCCTCATGCAAAAGCATTAACCAAACCAGTTCAACTTGGTAAAACATCTTTTATTTGAAAATACTTTCTCTTTTGAAAATTAAAAATATTCAACACATGATCAATCAAGCATAACAAAAATATAGTTCAAAGCAAGTACAAGTTGGGGTTCTTAGCCCAAACCAAAGTTGGGTATGTTCATGCTTTATTCACTGTTAGATGGAAAGTAAGTTCGTGATTTTGCACAGCCTCCACGTCTATATCATCCTCCTCAACAACTCTTATCTTTGTTAGTATTTAGGTGTACTTAAACACTATACACTCAACATAAACTCAGAAACGAATACTTCCCCCGTTCTAGAAAAGAGTTCCTATTTTGACCAAGTGTAAAAATAAGAAGTGTTAAATTATAGTTGATTTCCAATTTTTCCCTTGATGTGATCGGTAAAAGTAAGATGTAATAGATGGATTATTAGAGAAAAAATATGATGTGATAGGTAGGGTATGAAAAAGTAAGAGTAAAAGTGGTTTTTAAATAGAAAGCGGAAGTGTTTTGTTGGAAGTGAATAAAATAAAAGAGAAAGTGTTTTTGAGAACGGAAGGATTAACCAATAGACTTATGCATCACATAAACATAATCAAGACTTTTAGAGTTACCATGATTCAAGTGATTACGTAAAACATTTTTGTAAACTTTTCCTTACCAAAGTTAAACCTTGAGTAGGAATTCTATAATGAACACTAGAACCCCGCACCAATCGATTTGCAGTTTTACTTCGAGCTCTTTCTAGTGAATTCGAGTGCGGCTATCAGAAGTGAACCCTATACTCACAAGATCAATGTTGAGTTCTCATAATGTACGGTGAGGTATGATAAACTAGGCTCATTCACATTCATACGGTCCTCCGGCTTTGTACTAAAAGTAGATTAAGTGACTAATTAAAACTTGACAGTATCAAGTCAGGATACACATTATTACAATTTACTTTATTATTTGAAACAAAAAAAGTCATACCTAATGAAATCATTTAAAAGAATATATCCTTATAATTATGAAACATAATTTATTTGAAGGTCCATTAAACGCCTTTTATGTCACTTTTAACTTAAAAACAATCAATCACCAACATGTGCCACTCCTCAAATTGTATCGCCTAGCACAACACCACTCATACTTGGCACAAACACACCCCATCTATACATGTGCTAATAAGGAACTATATATGGATTCTAATGCAGTTCAATAAAATAAAATACTACCTCAGTCCCATTTTATAACGCCTGTTTCGGTTTACGATGTTTGACTGAAATTATTTTCAAACAATTTTATATGACAAATGGTATATAATTAAAAAATAAAAATTACATATTAAAAAACTACATCAAAAGATTTACAAAACCAGTAGTGACAATAATATTTTATTTTATCAAATTGCTAACGAAAATAGAGAAAGAAAGTGAATGAAGTTTCACCATCTCTACCCACAATGGTGAAAAAAAACAATAATCTTGGACAACTTGTTAGAGGGAGGGGTGGCACATGATATCCCCACTTCTTGATGGAGTTAAAAAAAACAGACAAAAAAACAAAAAGAAAAAAAGAAAGAAGAATTTGGGTACCTTTTCAAACATCGTCAACTTTTGCAATCTGAATTTGTAGCATCCTAATTTCACAATCTCTCTTTTGATTTCACTTAGGTTCCGTTTGATACGCAGAATTCAAATTATGAAATTGGAAATGATGATAATAATTCCAATTTCGTTTTTTGGTAGCACAAAAATGTGTGGTTTTGGAATTGATAGTGTCAAAAATGAATTGGAATTGGAAAATCAAATTTCATTCAAATCAATTCTATAGAATTTTAGCTCCCAATTTAATTTCAATTCCGCCAATCCCGTGTACCAAACGAATCCTTAATTTCATCACTTCATTCTAAGCTTCTTGTTATTTTTATTTTTTGTTCTAAGGCTATGTGTTTTTATTTATTTTTTATTCCTTCATACATCAATAGTGTGTTTGTACTAAGGCTATGTGTTATGGGGGGGCGTGAGGAGGGGTTTGACCACCCTCCGTCACGCCCCTCTTCCATAACATATGTTCCGGCGTTGTCCCAAGTGACTTGACCACCATCACTTCGTGATGGCCTTCTCCCTCTCCCAATTTTTTTTCCTTATTTTATTTATTATTTTAACCAATCAAAATTTAATACATATTCAGACATCATCACTTTCAATCACACTTATCATAACACACATTTTTCATCACTCAATATCATACATCCTTACACCTCATCATACTCCCCGTCAAGCCCGCCATAACACATGGCCTAAGTGAAGGGGTCTATTTCAAAAGAATGATTTTGAACAAGTCTTTTCAAAAAAGAATGATTGAATTGAGCTTCTTACTCACCTTTGATCAATTTGTAGCAACAATCAATCAAGGAGAACAAGACATGAATGGGAGTATCAATACACCTGCTCTATAATGTGTTCTGTATCGTTTCTATGCTACCAGACATGAATGGAGTACAGCATAAATATTAGAAGAAAAACTGGAATTGATTGTACCTGCATTTTAGGTGAATATAAAAATAACCTTTAATCAATAAATCAATCAAACAAAGAAAAGAAAAAAAAGATTTCTGTCGTCCATATAAAGAGTTTTTTATTATTATTTGAGTGATAAATTAGATTTATTTAACACCCCACTTTGTGTAATCTTTGGTCACCAATGTAAGAGGATGACTCGTGCTCCTACGATGTTCTGTTCGAAAATTGATGGTTCCTACCCTTTAACTCCTTTGCCCTCTGCCCCCACTCCTTGCCCTAACTATATGATATATCGAATCAGCGAAGTGAGTGGCGGGTACAAAGAGGTTATGAGTGTAGGAACCTTCAAATTTCTGAATGGAACTCAGTACAAACTCAGGTCAACCTATGGCACCAGTGACCAATGTCACATATTTTAAAATTTACAAAGTAGTTTTGATATATTCCTTATCAAATTTTTGAATTAAACCTTGTACCCAATCAAACTCTTTTACGGGATGACCAAAATTGTAAAGAATTATGCTAGAAATCGATTACGGATGCCCACACATGTGACTATTACATGCAATTTTATACATACGCATACGATAATCATCTGTTTTCACAGACAACTATAGTTTAAGTATATATAAATGATTTGTGATTGTCATCCGTGAAGTCATATGGATTTTTAGCATTTTTGGAATTTGAAAAGCTAAAACGCTTACCCTATGGTCAGAAGCAGCAGAATATTCCATTTCTGGAATGACACCTCCGTCCGGCTGTTGCAATTTAATGTCATAAACCGGGCTCCGGTCCGGGTAATACAGCCCATAATTCCTCTCTGAAGTTGGGCCTGGTTTCAGGTTCTCGTTGAACAGAGCGAAGATGTACACATCCACCGGCACCGACGGATTCGCCGGCGTTCCTTCCCCCTTCGCGATCCGCCGCAGCAAATTTCCGTTGTACGCCGCGGCGTTCTCCCGCGACGCCCCAGCCTCGCCCTCGTCCCCCTTCGAAGGCCAGCCCGTTTCCGAAACCTTCACTTGCACATCCGTGTGACCTAGTGCTTTGATCGCCGAATAGACGGCGTCGATCTGCGCGTACAGCATGTTATCGTACTTCAGATTCGCCGCCGGATCGGTGGTTCCCCGATTAGATCTGAAGAGGACGTAGTCCAGGGGAACGCCGGCCGGATCCGCTTTGTAAGCGAAGTAGGGGTACGCGTTGACGAGGAAGGGCGCGTTTGTTTCCGCGTTGAAATCGAGGATTCCGCGGATGGTTTCCACGAGCTCCGGCTTGAACGCGCCGGCGGACGGCGGGAAGGAGACGGCCATGGCGGAGTAGGCGTGAGCCGTGTTCACGCTGATCTCCTTCTCCAGCCCCAAATTAACGAGAGCATTGCGGACCGATTTCATCGCCGGGAGAAGAGACGACCTCGCTTGAAGGTCAGTCCCCGTCACGACCTCGTTCCCGACGGTAATGCAAGTGATCTTAGTCTTCCCGACGTGGGGCTGAATGTTCTGCTGAACCCAAGCCTGTGCTTGGGCCGGGTCGGTCATCTTCTGAAGGTATTCGTTCCCGAGCCCGACGACGAACTCCACATCGGAACCCGAAAAGGCTTCGAGCACGTCGGGGTCGGCGTCGTAGAGCTTCACTCTCTTGATGTTCAGAGACTGGAGGAGCGTCACCACGCTGGAATGTGACGGCAGATTATCGGCTATTTGACCGTAGTTGATTCCGACGCCTATTCCGGCGTGGCTTCCCGTAAGCAAATCTGTTTCCACAAAGAATTTAATTGATTAGGCAGGAGATTTAGCATTAATTAACTGGAACAAACATAAGGAGAGAAATATGGAGAGGATTTAATTGGGGGGTGATTAAATTAATACCAAGAACTTCATCATCAATAGAATCAAGAATAAAAGATGAATCTTTTGCCAAAAAAAACCAAGTGACTACTTAGTTGATGGTTAGAGGGGTGTAATGCCCATTCCATGAATCCCAACCCAGAAAAAGGATGAAGATGAAGATAATATATTACTCTGACTGGATGGGTTTTAAGCATTCAAATCTGTCTACCACACAGACCCAACTAAAAGTGCAAAAACTAATTGCTAAAAATCCAGAAAAAAGGTGTTGAAATTGACAGAGGAAAGAAGGAGAGGTACCAGATATAACGAGGGAGAAGAGAAGGAGTAGTAGAGGCCCCGAGAGAGAAGAAGCTGCGATCGCCATTGACAGACAGACGGACGGACAACTCTAACCATCTCAGACCATAGATTCTTCAATCATGCGTATATATACATACCCCAAGACGCCGGCATATTTTTTTTCCCCAACCACTTCGATGCATTTAATTAGTGTAAAGTCGGTCCAAAATAAAAATATATATTCTCTCCCTCTATAATAAAAAAAATAGCAGCCAATATTTTTAGATTTGATCGATTATACTTTCTTCTTTCCATTAAACCTTTACTAAAAGAATTACATGTAATTACGTCCAAAGATGGCTGAGTCTGGAGTAACGATGTAAAATCTAATTATGTTTTAGGAGTTTTAGGTTGCAAAAGAAAATCTAAGATTAATATATATTGGAGTATAATCGATCAAATCTGGGAGTGTCGTTGTAAAGTTAAACGTATAACTTTTTTACGTAACGGGAGGAGTGTTCTCTTTTTTATTAATTCCAGCATAAAGTTCACAATTTCTTTTTATATTGATATCAAAATTAACTCTTCATTTCTCCTTTATTTATTTAATTCAAAGATATAATATGTGGCTCATATTCTTTATTTCTTAAATTAAAATGAATTACGAATTATGAATTTATTGTCTTATTGTGCAGTCATGGTTTCCATTTATCACAAAAAAAAATTTGTTTGCGCGTGAATGTGATAAGGGTCTATTATTGCAGCTTGTATTTGGCCATATTGATTTTGTTTGAGAAGATTATTTGTGATTAATGTTAGTATTTGAATATTTTTAAAAACTCGTGTTTTTTAATTCAAAACTATGCAAATTTGTGTAAATTAAAATAAATTCTGTATTTAAATACGGAGTATTTATTACTTCGTACTTTATTCGACAGTCATGGTTTTACATTTATCACTAAACAAATGTGTTTGCGTGTGAAAGTAATACTCCGTAATAATCTTTTATTGCATTTTGTGTTTGACCATTTTGATTTTGTTTGAAAAGAGTATTTGTGATTAATGTTAGTATTACTCCGTAATATTTTATAACACTCCTAGTGGCTAGTGTAAAAATTGATTTTGACAATATTAAATTTATCGTTGAATAATATTTTTAAAATAATGAGACGAAAGTTCTGTTTGGTACACAAAATTGATGGAATATGAATTGAATTGAAATTTAAAATTCTATGGAACTAATTTAAAAGCTCTGTTTCTTCAATTCCAATTCATTTTTGGCACTGTCAATTCCAACACACATATTTTTGTGCTACCAAACAACAAATTTGAAATTTATGTACCCGATTCCAATTCTATAGTTTGAATTTCGTAAACCAAACGGAGCTTCAATGTTGTTACATCCGTTCCAATTTAAAGTTTCTACTTACTACTCTCATCGTCTAAAAATTATCTTCTCGTTCACTATTCACATGGTCAAATTTTATTCACCTTGTTTGCCTATTTTTGTTACGTATTTGATAAAATAATATAGTCATGTCATCTCTAGTTTTTTGAATCTTTTGATATAATTTTTTAATATATAATTTTTATTTTTAAATTTTACATCATTTTTTAAACAAATTATTTTAAAAAGAAATTCAGTTAAACATCGTAACGCGCAACAGAAAGATACGGAAGAATATATATACTCTCTAGATGAGAGTCCCATTTTTTTAAAAGTCCCACTTTGGGTATCAGTGGTTCATATTGATCCCACACAAAATGTGGTCTAGGGACTCCACCCCTAAACATGTTTAAAAGAAGACTCAAAACTCACACACTCTATTATTGGTTGGTTTATTACGAACAAAGTAAATGGCGGGATTCTTATTTTTAGAAGATCGCTCAAATAGTCAAATGTGAGTGTTTTTTTAAAGATAATTTTCCCTTAAATAATTAATAAATGTAAGAGGAGCTTATTCGAGTTAATTTCCAGTTTTCCATTCTTTTTCCTTATTTTCAACTTTTTTTTTGGTTGGGTCAGGCAAGGGACAAGCAGAAATAAGCTTTATTCTTATTCCTTAATTCTATTTTGCTTTTTCTTTTTTCATGCTGGTTAAATGTTGACACAAACGAAAAGGAGAACTCTTTTTTGTTGAAAAGTTAACACTACCAAAAAAGAAAAAATTTCTTTTTGATAAATCGAAATGGCAATAATACTCTTGTTTTGACTTTTGATCAACAAAAATGGCGATAAAAGCATTACTCTTGTTGTAATTAATTTTTCGTTGTTTGCAACATCAATTTTCTTCATGTGGATTATTAAAAGTGAAATTTACACTAAATAAGACTAAAACATAAATCACTCGCAATGTAAGACTTACACTTTTTTATTTTCTAAATAATACTCCCTCCGTCCCAAAAAGATTTACACGTTTCAAAAAAATTGTGTCCCACAATCCCTTACCCATTTCTATTAAAAAACCACTTTTACCCCTTACTTTTTCAAACCCTATCTATCACATCATACCTTTTTTCTAATAATCTACACATCACATCCTACTTTTACCCATCACATCAGGGGTATTTTTGGAAAATCAACACAAAATTATTCCTCTCTTAATTTCAACTTTTTTCAAAATGGGTAACACTTTATGGGACGGAGGGAGTAGTTAATAGATAATGACAGTGATGATGAACATTTGTTTGAATAATAACTAATAGATAATGATTAATGATTCTATATTAGAAAAATAAAAACATATAATCTTATATCGAAAAAAATCATTATGTTTTAGTTCTATTTAAATAAATTCTCGTTATTAAAACTCTGTGGGTTGAAAATTAAGTAGATATAGATATACATATTTTTCAAATTTATTTAGTTTTTAAGTCATAAAAAAAGTCGACCAAATCATTAAAAATGGAACCAACTTTTTTTGTTCATGTGATCCATGAAGATCGATTTTGTTCGTTCGGCATTAATAATTTGTCAATACATTTAATTTACAGATTTACTGGCGGATCAAAACAATAACAAACTGAAAAAGGAAGAAAGAAACTAAATCACTGCTCCATATCGGAAGATGAACAAAAGTATATTCATTTTGAAGCTCTATTTATTCCCATATGCAATGAAACCATGAAGAAAACTATGCTACGAGAAGAGCAGTTATAGTACTGAAAAAGTATGGGATTTTAATGGGCAGCATTGCAGAAAGTCACTCGAAATCGACCATGTTGAAAGAACAACACATAACCGAATCAAACGGGACCACAATAGTTCGAGTCGAATAGCATAATGTAATTATACCTAGTACAGATCACTCTCCTTGTGGGTGTGAATCTCACAATCTGAAGTCGGGTAGGCAACGCAAGTCAACACGTATCCCTCTTTCATTTGGTTGTCATCAAGGAAAGATCCGTCAGATTGATCAACCGACCCGGACACGATCTTGCCCGCACACGTGGAGCACGCACCTGCCCTGCAAGAATAGGGCAGGTCGACTCCCGCTTCCTCGGCTGCATCCAGGATGTAAGTATCAGCGGGTGCTTTGAACTCATTCACTTGCCCATCTGGACCAACCAGCTTGATCTTGTAGCTGTTTGCTCTGAAACGGTCAACTTTCAAGCCACTAAACGATATTGATGTCCTCCTCTCTACAGAACCCGGGGATGATGGGTTCTTAAAGAATGCAATTTTTGGTTGGGCGATGGATTTCGGAGGGGTCATTGTGAACATGCAAGTGGATGGAAGTCTTGTCGTCGACATGATCACCTGAAAATACATCAATAGGAAACACTCATTCTAATCATTTTAGAGACCCTGGGTAAGACAAATAAAGGACCCACACCATTGAGGTGAAATAATCATACTCGCGGAACTACGCACTATTGCTTAAGTACAATAACACAACCAATTTATAGGCAGACTAAAGGTTTCCAGAATTTTTCTGATGTGAAAGTAACAATGAGAAGACTACTATAACACTAATCTATGATCTGTGCTTTTATGAAAGTGTCCTAAATCAATTTGATGGTAATTGTTAAACTTGGTTTTTAAAGTCTAGTCCCTAAATTTTTTGAAGAACCCTTGCCTGTGACTTGTTAGGGCCGTGTTGGAAACTAAGGATGAACACTGCGAAGCAGCGTTGAAGTTTTTATGAAAAGAAGATCAAGAATTACATTTTGATAGTTTAACAAATCGCGAATACGCTTTCAGATCAAAGTTATTTCGGGGTATACCAAAATACTTTAATCAGATAAGACGTTAATCAAGAACAGGCCTTCGAATTCCATTCTCAACCATACCCAAGCATCTCTATTTATAGACGAAGAATCATCGATCAGACATGATTGTTTGCAAACTTTTGCATGGCACGGACAGACGCAAACGTTTGCACTAGTCTGACGTTTCGGGCGCAAACGTTCACAAAACTTCGGTCCGGTTTGATGTTTATCTAAAGTACAAGATTTTCAAATGTTTTGACTACTTTCACGAAAATCTAAAGAATTTTCATAAAGCAATAATGTCCGGAAAAAAAATTGCTTGACCCCGGCCAGGGGCTCTATCCCTTGGACCCCGCCAGGGGCTGCCGCCCCTTGGACCCGACTACCAGAAGCTGCCGCCCCCGGACTCCCGCCATGAATTTGTAATATCGTTGAACGAGTGCTCACTCCGTACCTCCTAACTTGTTAGACAACGTCTACTCAAATTCTTGTTTGATCAAAGTTAGTCCAACTACACAAAATAGATGATGACACTAAAATTACAGGCTGCACAGTAAGTGAATGAGAAAAAGAAAAAGAGAAACAGATATATGTAAACCAGAGCTGTCTAACTTGTTCTTTAGACTTGTGACAGATGTTTTGAGCATATTTTCTTGATATTTAACTGAAGTATGTAAGAATAGCAGACTCCAGAAGGGGAAAAGCCAGTGTAGCTGACTGGTTGGGTTGCACAAGTGGTAGAGTAACATGACCACCATAAGCCGTGGTGCAATTTATATGTGCTTTAAATGAAGTGATCAAACTGTAACCAGCAACTACATGCATCTATGGTGATAATTTGTTTTTCAGGTAATGTATAGGCACTCGTAAAAATAAACATCCCCGCCTTATTATCTGTCACAGAATTG